GCCCTTTACAGCGCCTCAGCGTCTGCACGGCCTCGCTGGGGGCACTCATCTCAGCCCCCCCCCCGAGGTCTCAAAGCGAGGAAAGCAATGGTCGCCTCTCACTCGTCGGGATTTTCTGGCGCTCATCACTCCCCAAAAAGCTCCCACTATTGTGGGCTCAGACGGTACAAGCCGCCTCCGTATCGGCTATGCTTCTGCGTGTCCCTCGGCCGTCTCCATTGATTCGGGACATCTCGTGCGACAACACGACACCGCGACAATCGGAGGCGGGCCTGCATGAGGGGTGTTCAGCGATTGTCAGTCTTCACGCGTGTTTTCATTCGTCTCGAAGCCGTGTTCCGCCCTGAAGCTGGCAGCCGTAGAGCTTGCCCCCTCGGCGACGAGCTCGTAATCCGGTGCGTGGTACTCGGTGACCGGTACATGGCTCGCAGGTACCGGCTGGTTGCAGCTCGACCGTGGTTGGTCGATACCATGGCCCGCTCCAACAGGCCAGAGCCAGCCAGCCCCAAAAAGAGCTCGACAGCTCCCCAACCTTGTGCCGCTCGACTCTCAACAGCTGCGCTGCTTTTTGCTGGCGGCCCCCCCTTGGCGCGTGCGGGAGCTCAACGCAAAATTCCGTGGGGAACTTCCGACGACCGGACCGCCATGCTGTACAAGCAAAGCCAAGCAATCCAGGCAAGCTATGCACCGACACAACTGATACATTGGACATTACTTTTTGTTTCTCCTTGTCTTTCTACCATTGGCCAGTTGTATGAGGCTCCAACTCTGACCCACGAGGGATTCGCCTTGTTCGCACAGCCTTGCAGTTTTACGTTCACCTGGCCTAAGGATCACCTGTCATGAAACGAAACGGGGCACCAGAAGAGAAGAAGTAAGAACCAAACGAGCCATATTCTGAACCTAGGGTTATCTGAGAAAGCATACACGGCCTTCTCCGCTCCGTTCCCCTTTTCCCCCCTCCACCCAAGCAGTAATAGTAAGAGTTGTATGTAGTATTGTACAAGCGCAAGTGGATTGGTATCGTTCCGAAGCTTCGGTTCCGTCGTCTTCTATCCACCCCGACTGAAGCAACACTTTTCTGGGTTGTTCGTGATGGCTTCCCGGTCCTGATCTCCTTCTATCGTGTCATGTCGCTATTGGAAAACTGTACGACAGTTCACGTCGTCTGGCGCGCGCCTTCGCCCGCGCCCGCACCGCACCTCCGGTTCTCTCTCTCTCTCTCTCTCTGCATTGCTCGCTGCCCATTTACAGCTTCTTGCAAATCTCGATCCACTTCTCGGTGGAGAAAGACTTGGGGCGCTCAATGGGGGCACCGACGGCGCGGTCAATGATGAGCTGGGGAAGCACACCGATGGCGCGGGACACACCGAAGAGAACGGTGTAGAAGTTGGCCTCGGTCAGACCGTAGTGCTGGAGGAGCACGCCAGAGTGGGCGTCGACGTTGGGGTAGGGGTTCTTGGTCTTGCCGTGCTCGGTCAGGACGCCGGGGGCGATCTTGTAGACCTGGCTGACGAGCTTGAACATGGGGTCGTCGGGCATGTGGGCCTGTGCGAAGGTGCGCTGGGCGCTGTAGCGGGGATCCGTCTTGCGGAGGACGGCGTGACCGTAGCCGGGCACGACACGGCCGGCGTTGAGGGTCGACCAGAGGTAGTCGGTGATGGACTTGTCCGAGAGGTCGTCACCAACCGACTTCTTCATGTCAGTGAGCCAGTTGAGGACCTCCTGGTTGGCGAGGCCGTGCAGGGGACCGGCGAGACCGTTGAGGCCGGCGGCCACGGAGAGGTAGGGGGAGCTGAGAGCGCTGCCGACGAGGTGGGTCGTGTGGGCGCTGACGTTGCCACCCTCGTGGTCGGTGTGGATGGTCAGGTAGAGACGCAGCAGCTCAATGAAGCCCTCGTTGCTGCCGAAGCCAAGCTGGTTGGCAAAGTTGAAGGAGTAGTCCTTGTCCTTCTGGACCTCGGCGACCTTGCCGCCCTTGAAGACGTTCTGGTAGATGCGAGCGGCAATGGTGGGCAGCTTGGCAATGAGGTCCATCGAGTCCTCAAAGGTGTAGCCCCAGTACTCCTTCTTGTTGACGCCCTTGGCGTAAGCCTTGGCGAAGGAGGAGGAGTGCTCAAGAGCAGTGACGGCAAGGGAGAACTGCGCCATGGGGTGCAGGTCGGTAGGGCAGTGGTCGATGAGCTCCTCGACAAACTTGGGGAGGTCGGCACGGGCGGCCCACTCGGCGGACAGGTCGCGGACCTGCTGCTCGGTAGGGACCTCGCCGGTCAGGAGAAGCCAGAAGAGACCCTCGGGGAGGGGCTCCTTGCCGCCGGGTGCCTTGGGGAGAAGCTCCTGGCACTCGGGGATGGTCTTGCCGCGGAAGCGGATACCCTCCTCGGAGTCGAGGACGGAACCCTCCCAGACAAGACACTTGACGCTGCGGGCACCGCCGTAGACCTGGTCAAGGGTGACCTTGTCGACGACCTTGGAGCCATGCTCCTTGCGAAGGGCCTTGATCTCCTCGATCTTCTCGGGAAGAAGCTCAGCGAAGCGCTCCTTCAGGGTCTAGGGAGCAAGAGACGGGTTAGTTCAATCGTCGCCAATGAAGGATTGCACCGAATGGCCGCAGCATTGAGGGCGCAGATGCGAAGCATCATGGGCCTCTCAACAGCGAAGGGAGACCGTCGTACCTGGGACTTGGCCGAGTAGCAGCGAGCGGCCTGGAAAGCCGAAAGCCTGGTGTTGTTGGCCCGGAGCGAAGCTCGCAGGGCAGAGGAGCCGATGCGCGACACGGAGGCCATTGTGACAGAGGATATTCAGGAGTATGAGGAACTGCTGAGATGGATAGTCGGGAGGGGGATGGAGAAGGAGAGGAAGTGAAAGGAGAACAGGTTGGCAGAAAAATGCGCATTCGGGGAAAAATACGGCGGAGCCAAGGTCGGCGTCCGGGTGC